TGCTTGGAGCCCAGCTTCCTCTCCCTTCACCATCACTGAAGCTGCCTCCCTCTTCATCATCTACCCAGCCAGGCTCCCGCCACCTCCTCCAGGAGGCCCTCTGCACAAGCATGCCTGGGCATCTCAGGACCTCCTACCTCCTTGGGGGTCAGCAATCCTCTCTCCAACCACATAACAGTGTGGGTGGGGGCATGTGTCTCTCTTCCTCCCTGTCAGATGCCCCCCCCACACACACACACACACACACACACACACACACACACACACACACACACTGCCTACAACACAGCCAAACCAGGCACCCTAGGCTGGCACATGGCAGAACCTCTTGGTGCCTTCAGCCCCTGGACACCCCCGGGGTTCCACCCACAGGTGCATCGGGCCTGGATGGAGCCCCCAGGCTTGGGGCCCTTGACCAGGTGGCAGCCTATCTCTGCCTCTGGGAGCGAGGATGGAGGGATAGGAGACCCTAGAAGACAGATTTCCTGCCTAAGAGGATGTGGACAGAGGGACTGGGCCCTGCTCTGACCCCCACCGCCAACCCAGCTTCCAAACTTCGGTTCTTGGGCATTGTGGCCTCAGAGAACTGAGGTCCGGAGCACAGAGGAGGGAGACCACAAGCTGGCCCAGTGGATGGGCAAAGGCTACCTGGGGGTGAGGGGTGAAGAAAGAGCAGAATGTGGACAGGATGCAGAGGAGGGAGGCCTGGGCTGAGGGAAGGGAGACACAACCCAGCTGCCCGAGGCCCCTGGATGCTGGTGGTGGGACTCAATCCAGAGCCTTGGACATGGTGGGCTATGGCCAGAGATTAGACCCAGGCTGGCGACCCACTGGGCCAGGGAGGGAGGAAGGGGGAGAGGGGTGACTAGAGGCCCCTTTGAGGCAGCCCGGCTCTCCCCAACATTACTTCCTGAGTTTTCTCATCTTACTTTGGTCTGAGAGGAGTCCAGTAGCTGCCCCAAACTTGACCAACCTAAATGTTGGCCTTCCAGTGGCTTGAACCCTCCACTCCACATGGCCTGTGGCGCCCGTCCTATGCACAGAGCTCTGCCTTTTTAAAACTATATTTTTTTTTATTGATTTCAGAGAGAAAGGGAGAGGGAGAGAGAGAGAGAAACATCAATGATGAGAGAATCATGGATCAGCTGCCTCCCGCACGCCCCACACTGGGGATCAAGCCTGCAACCCTGGCATGTGCCCTGACCGGGAATCGAACTGTGACCTCTTGGTTCATAGGTCGATGCTCAACCACTGAGCCACGCTGGCCAGGCTAGCTTGGCCTTCTTTTACTTAGTTCCTTAGGATCGATTCCCAAACGTGGCCAGAGAGTATGAATTTCCTTCTAGCTCTGGATGCATATTACCAAATTAATTTCCAAAAGGGCCAACAGAGAATCCTCCAGAAGCAGCAACAGAGCAGCAGGCCGGTTTCACAGCACCCTTGCCAGCATTGGGTGTTCTCATTTTGAGAACATATCACTAATGTAATAAGTGCGAAGTGTTACCTTGTTTTCTGTTGTTACCTTGGTTTTTTCATTTGGTTTCCTTCCGTGCCGGAGGTTGAACCTTCCCCCGAGCCTCTTGTAACCAGTTGGGTTCCCTCCTTCCTGCAGTCTTTTCTGGTGGCCCGTTGCCCATTTATCTCTCGGAGTCTTAACCTTTTGATCAATTTGTATGAGCTTTATCTTTGTTGTACATTTCCCCTCAACTCGGCTATTTGCTTCAGACGGGTTTTAAGCAGAGAAGGGACATAGAACCAGACTTTTCAGAAACCTTCCCCACCTCGTTTCATTGTCTCAGTACTTATCACACGTGGTATTATCGTGCTTGGTCCCCTATTACCTACGGACCTGTCCCCCTAGCCTGGGAGCTCTGTGCAAGCTGAGACCCCGTGTGTCTGCCTGGTCATCTTCCTGTGTGCACGGAAGGAATGGAGGTCAATGGCCTTTGCTGAACGAATGTTCTAGGGCAGGGCAGGCAGAGGGTGGCTGAGATAAAAAGACCTGGAGGCAGGGACAGAGCTTTGCAAGCTGTGACGGTGACCCGGTCAAGAGCTGGCAAGCGCAAACCCTTGGCCAGAGCCAGGCAGAGAGGAGAGTACAGATGTGAGACTTAAGTAGAAACACTCACTCTTGACTAGGCGGAAGGCAGAGGGAGAGGCTGGGTGACTCCCAGAATCGGTAACATGATAAGACCAGAGCGCTACAGCTGGGAGTTCCTGGGCGCCTTTGGCCAGGCCTGTGTGAAGGAATGAGGGTGCCCAGAGGCTGGCTGACCTCTGCCTGTCAGGCCCTCCCCCCAGCCTTGGGCAGGGTTCTGGGCCAGGAAGCAGCAATGGGTTTCTGGTCCCTGTTTCCTCCTCCCATGATTTCAGTGACACCCCACGGTAGCCCAAGTGGTGGCTCTGGTGAGCCCACTATATAGATGGGGCCACGGAAGGCCAGTCAGGGGACATGATGGTCCAGGGTCGCCAAGCGAGTAGGCAACCTCTGGGGCAGGGGCACTGGGCTCTTGTCCCCACCCCTCCCCCTGCCTCCAGGGGGCCTGACTGGCGCCGGCCAGGGGAGCTGTGGCTGGCCCCCTGCAGGGCCCCTGACCTGCCCTTGGCCTCTGCCCTGGCCCAGTCCCGCTTGGGTGGCTCCAAAGGCAGCTGCTGCCAAGGTGGAAGCCAGGTCCTCTGCTAAGCAGCCAGCGCGCCTGCGGCTCAGGACTTTGCTTCCACGTGCGCGCCTGCTCGGGCCGCACTACCTTCTTCCCAGAGGCCAAGCCCGGGGACACCCTGTCTGAAGACCGCGCTCCGAGTCCCGCGGTGGCCCTGGCCGAGGCCTCGGCACAGGGCCACCCGCGGGGGGATCACGACTCAGGCGACTCAGGTCTCTCTCCTTTTCTTTTCCCGGGACTGGCGGGGTGGGAGGCTGGGTCGGGGGTGTACCAGAGCTGGATCGGCTCCGAAAGGGCCATCGCCTCCACCCCACCCCTATTCCCTGGGCCCACCTGGCCGTGGGGGAGACCTTGATCTTCAGCCCCTCTCACACGCACGCGCCCCCAAAGTCTGAAGCGCGAACTTGGGGAGTGATTCCGGGCAGGCCGAGAGAGAAACTCAGAAACAAGGTGTGAAGGAAGGCGGCCGTGCGTGGCTTTGGGACACCCCAGGAGAGGCTGGGAAGGAACCCACGGCTCTCAAAGGGGCCGTGGGATGCCCAGCTCTACTCTTCTGGGGGGGGTTCTCACACTTCCTTTCTCGGGGGCGGTGAGCGGCGACCGGGCACCCAGGTGGCTGCCTCGGGTGTTCTTTTGGGGCGCACAGTGCCTTCTGCGTGTCCTCACTGTGGGAAGGGCGCGAGCAGAGAGAATCGAGCGGTGGAGGGGTGTCCCTGCGGGTGTCCTGGGTGCCTGCCTGCCTTGGGGCACGGGGTTGACTTCACGTCTTGACCCCTGGGCTCCTGTCCTATGGCAGCCGGGCGGGGAGGACTCCGGCTCACCACGAGTGTCTCCC